TTGGTATAAAATTCATTAGGTATCTACCTTAAAATCGTATCACAACCTCCCTGGAAAAAGGTTATGCAACATCCTGTAGATTTAAGTAAAATTTTTTTTTGAAACTTCTTTTTATTGTTTTGTTGGTGAAATTTGTCGGAAATTTTCAAGATTAGACCAGATACGTAAATTTTTATTAACGCTGGAACATTGATTCTCATATCTAAATTCAAGTTTCCAAAGAAAATTTTAATTAATGAAATGAACTTAGACGTTCTTAAAAATCATTTTCTGATGATCAAGAACATTTTCCAAGAAAAATAAGGGTTTCTAAAAACATACTTAAACACTCTACTTTCAGATCTGTTTGAGTATTTTCCGAAACTCTTTCAAAATGTAGAACTTTTCTAAAATAATATTATAGTAAATGAATTTTTAATACGTATCGATTCAATAGTTTCATATAGCTCTATTCGATCATATTTACTTTTTTCACAAGCACGAAAATGGTATTTAACTTCATTAATTAATTTATTAACAATTCTTTTTCTTTCTTCAATAAACATTAGACAAATTTCAAGTGTTAATTAATAATTTTAAAATTTATTTTATATTAAGATAAATGATCTACCTCTACTTAAAATAGTTCTTCTATATTCAGAACAATATATCAAATGAATAGAAATTTTCAGTCAACTTTGGATAGAAAATCACGTTTCTGTAACAAATGATTTAGTCGAGTTTGAAACATCTTCAATCGTTACTTTCTCTTGATTGGAAAAGGAAATGGAAGAGATTGCGTATGTTTACGTATATATGCACACGATAATTATCGTTGCTATACTTTCTAATAACACGATACATTATTAAAAATCTTTTATTGGCGACGCACGCTATACAGAAAACAATTATTATTGGCATTGTTGTCGATTGCTGCTAGTAACTATGAAGAAAAGTATAATTGACATACAAGCAATTTATTTTTTGTTTTTAGCTTCCGAAAAAAATGTCGATCATTGACATTTTCATCGATTGTTAAAAATAAGATGGGTGCAGGTTGTTGTTGCTGTGGTAAGAAAAATCAACGTGTATCATCTGAATATCGTTCAGTACCTCGATATACTCAAATTGGCATAAGAACAAATGATTCGTTGACACCCATCGATGATTATCCTGATGAACCAGTTTTGTCCTTGGAAGAAGCTCTTGAACTTTTCGACGGCAAAATTAACCATTTATCTTATTATATACAGGAAGCCAAAATGAAATGTCACTATCCATCAGAACATAATCTTACTCTTGATGAATCAGCTGCTATCTATATCTATACCATGCAATGGGGCGATAGATGTCTTCATAATTATTTACAAGCAGCATTGAATTCCAATGATCAATCTACACTTCAACCATGGTTAATGTATCTGAAATTATTCAAAAGTGCACTCGATAAATTACCTACTGCAAAGGCAGAAGTTTGGCAAGGAGGACCATTTGATGAAAAACTCAAAGAACAACTTAATTCAAAGTCATCATCCCTTTATACTTCTCTTAGTTCATGTTCACTATCGGCCAATGAAATTAAAGAGTATCTACCAAAAACTGTTGAGAAGAAAATATTTCTTGTTGGTTATCAATCTGTAAACGGCAAATTAGTGACTGGTTATACAGCTAATGGTTTTCCAGAAGCGATAGTATGGCCAGGCATAAAGTTGGGAGTATCAAAATATGTTGTAACCGATGCTTATCATTCATGGATTCTATATCCAATAAGATCAAATGGTAAGTACTAATACAGTTGAAATCATAACAGTGTTCATACTTTCTACACTTTTCTCTCCTCATTCCATAACTTGTAGTTCTTTTCTTCTCTCATTTCTTTGCCAATGAGGTGATTCACTACGTCAAGAGTAGAGTTTTCATTTTCTCTATTCGTATATACTTCATAGTATTAAATTGTGATAATTTATATTTAGATCATTCTCATGGATCGATGAAGAGCGGCGATATGTCATCTCGGAAACACTTTAAGTGTCCATACAAAAGTTGTGCTAATCGGTGTTCTGGTAATCATAAGACTGATTACTGTCATGGTTTTGTTGGCCGTATGCATAGCTGTCAGCATCATTGTACTCCAACTCAGAAGTGCGACGAATGCGGTCAACTTGATTCTCACCTATGTAAATGTGACAAGTGTGAAGGTCGTTATTGTGTTGAATGTTGTTTTCAATAAATAGCGATGGAATAACACAAATCATTGGTTGATTCTATTGCAATAGCTCCAAGCAATATTTGAGCAAAATCATCAGAAAACGAATTGATATTAAGTATACAGAAAAGATCTTACAGTTAATACTCGATCTTATCGAACATCAAGAATATGAATATTCTCACGACACAAGAATTTTTCTCTCCTATCGTGACTTGAATAAAAGGTAATTCATTATATTCAAGATAGTAATAAAACATTCTTATATACAAATTCGAAGAAATGATAAATACGAGAAAAAACTATGATTATACTCACATGCTGTGAAATACTCATCTGATATTCATTAATGTGTCAGATACATGTGATAAAAATAGGGATCTGTGGGTTCTTAACTTGTTCACCTATGCAGAAGATGATACAATACATTCGAATAAGAGTAAATGTTGGAATGAGAAAGCCATTGTATTAGAAACTGAAAAATCGACATGTCAGGATCAGTAACAAAAACTGGGAATGCTGGTTCCTATTGCGATGGTTTCTTGATGAAATATCAGTGTTTTAGCAATATCGAACATAAGACACATGTTTCCGAAAAAAGAAAACAAATCCGAACAAAAAGATTGAAATAGCTGATGGAATTTCTTTAATCGAAGTTTATGTTCAATAGCATCATTCATTTTTCAGACTTAATGATTTTTTGTTTGAAAAAATATATCCAGACATAGAGCGTGACAGAACTATTCTATCGAATTCTTACTTTACTTGTCTCTAATAATGATTACGTATAGTTCAAAATAAGGACTTTATCATGGCCTACACCTTGATACTATTTGTGTTTGAAAAAAATCGATTGGCTATAATGAATTTGCCAAAAAACCAAAACACCACATAAAAATTTATATCATTTTTGAAAGAGCAGCCTTCGGACTATCTTCCCATGCACTGATCTCAATTTTCATGCTTTTGAGGTATCTCCAATCTTAAATGACAGAGGATTTTTACCTAAATTTGTCCAATTTTATGTAAAAAAAAATGTTCTTTTTCTATATTCATAAACTTTTACATTAACAGCGAAAATTTACTCCTGCTAATCTCCTTCCCTGAGTTATTTCGCCACGAATGTCTTATACTTGAAACAACGAATTTCATTTGACACTAGAACAGGACAGTTTAAAGTTTGAAAACAACGACGTGCAATAATTAGCTTCGGTAATGTTATTGATTGCACAACAATGAAAACTTGTTTTGGGAAATTAATGAGATTGCTTTTAATGAAAAAGGATGAATCTTCTTTTCAGTCATACCCAAATGTATATTTTCTTTCTCATCAATTGTTATGTTTGAGAATTGTACATAATTTTTTTTTCATGATAATATCATATATTATACCGAATGAGTGTGTTAATCAATACAAAAATCATTAAAATTAGTTTATCTATACAGCTAATAACACATTCAAGTATTTAATGTTTAATTTTCAGGAAATGTACGATTTTGTAATGTTTGAAGATATTCAGTATCAAGATTATCAACAATTAAATTAGTAATGATGCGAATTTTATTTATATCAGTTTCCAATGCATTGTTGACTGATGTGAATTTTAGATATTCCCTACATTGAATGTAACTGTTTCTCACATCTTCGAGTAAGTAAGAAAATGTTACAGAAATCTATGAACAAAATAATATATCGTCGAAGAAAATATGTTCTGTCAGACTGCTAAATGTTTTTCAGTTTCTTTATTATTAAACGCCTCCGAAGAAGCAGCAAAAATTGCAGCATTCGACACGAGGCCAAATGTGCGGGATATTGGGTATTAGTTTTCAACTAGCAATAACCTCTCCTCGCGAAACGCTCATTGGATAAGGTACTGCCGCTGCGCAAAGATAATACTTGTATGAATTTGTCGATGCTTATAAGCATAATTTCATGCAGAACAAATTCGGTGAATGTATAGCAGACAAAGTAATGAATCATAGGTTGCGAAAGAACGAACAAGAGAGAAGTACACGTCACATTTTCTTTTTTCTACAACAACTTGTCAAATATTCTGTAACAAAAATAGTAGAATTAGATGCTTTTACTATTCTACATGAGAACGTATTATAATTATTTGACATCCGCCTTATTCTACAAAGAAAGTTACAAAATCAAGGTTTGATTTCTAGTCATAATCAGTATACTACTTTTAAATATATTCTGTTTTATGTTTCAATAAAATATAAAAGCTATAACAAATATTTATCATTCTGAAGGTCAATAATATTAACCAGTTTTGTTTATGTATCGATATTTAATTATATTCAATAGATTAGTTAGTCGAATTTTCACTGACAACCCGTACACATTATGAATCTTTTTGCTAGTGCATCATAGAAATATTCCTATAATGACTCATAATCATAACTTATTCTGTTATCGTTTTTCACCATCTCCAAGGTGCCTATTCATAAAATCGTGATCCCTTGATCTAGGTTTATCGTTGTTTTTGCACCTATATGCTGTAATACAAATGTTGCCACCTTCATATTTCATTGAATAGTAATTTTGCATTGATGAGGCATGCATGAAAAGCCTTATACTTTTCTTTTGTATAATTATTCATATAATGAAAAAAATATTTTGTATATGAATGCATGTGCACAAATAGAAAAGTACTCAGCTTGATATACAGTTTCTATTCATTCACTTGTATTACCAAGCGAAAAAAGGATAAACAAGTTATTTTGATATTATATAAATGTTGAATATAAAATCATCAAGTACCATTTGCTTATTAGTTCTTTTTGTCGATGTTTACGGGTTTATTCCACATCCATTCATTCGTCTTAGAGAGCGTTCAATAATGATATGGGTAAATGCACGAATTCATCAACATGCAGATTAGGACAAAACTAACTTGAATATTTCCACTGTAGCTTGACCGAATGGTCTAATTTTGTTTTCGATGATAAAGGAGTGTTCATAGTTTATGTCCAGTGAGAAAAGATTAGAAAGAACCATTTTTAAGTATCAACAATATAATTCTATTCTCTCACATTGCAGAAGAAAGTGACACAGCGAAGAACAATCTCTTTGTCGTGACAAAGCATTAATAATTAAATCATGTTTTTAGCTATTATATGCTGTAACTGTCTCATTCAAATATGTTTTCCTTCTTCTATATATTCTCCCGCCCTATATACACATTTTGTGCGGTATAAATCTTCGTCTTTCTTGAGTAGCGTAGATATATTCGAACTTGCGCTCTCTATACGCTTATTTCATGTTCTCTCTTCTCGAATCATTCAACGTATTCTTTATCGTACGGATGCGGATGAGAGAGTAATTAAAAAAAGCACTCACACGAGCCTACACCAAGTTCACTTGTTATACACATGACTATTGTGAAGGCGTGATCATTTCTCATGATGAAACATATGCAACTATCATGTGCTGTTCGAATATATATTATGGCTCCGAGTGAGTCATCGTAAGACTAAGAAAAGGTTAAAAGAATTTGAGAATATGATCTGTTAGTAAAGAGTTATGGCTAGACATGGTTGACTGAGTTCTGATCCAATTGAAAATGACTGGTTCTGCTCATGTCTCGTTATGACTGCTTTAATGGTTTTTGACCAATAATACACTATTTCTGGAATAAAAATTAAAGCAGTTTTCAGTTAAAATTTTACCTATCATTAGATGATCGTAAAAATTTCCAAGAAAACGAAAATATCTTTCTCAAGATGTGAAATTTGCAGAAAACCTCGATTGTTATTTCACCTAGTGTAAACTGTTGATTGTTTTGGACATTAAATACTTCGAGAAAAATATGTTTGTTCTTATAGAAACTTTCAGAACTATCAAATCTTGCTATAGACGAAATTTTATTTCAAAACTCTTCATTTTAGATTTTTTTTCGAAAATATCTTGCTTTCAATGAAAATCCATAGAAACATCTATAACACTTCATTAGTATTTATATTGATAACGTCATGTTCAAATCATCTCTTAGTGGCCAAACTGATGATAGTAAGTTTTAGATGATTTATTATGTATGCTTTTCTTTTTAATATTTCTCTTTACTTCTGTACAGGTATCACGCACACTGAAATAACTCAACTAGGATTTATCCGTAGTCTTGCTCGTTTTTTACTCGAAACAAAAGCGATTACTAATTATAATCATAATAAAAAGTATACGACTGATCAAGGGTGTGGATGTAGGGTGTGGATGTGGGTATGGGTGTCGGTGGGTTTGGATGTGTTGATATGGGTGTGGATGTGTGGCTGTGCGTGTGGATGGACTAAGGGTATGGGTGAAATATGTTTGAGAGCCGGCTATGCTTTCATCCTCTCCTATAAACAACGGTCATAGCCACACTCACAACCACAGCTACAGCAATACCCACACCCACACTCACACGGAAGATACTCGTCGTCTAGTCTTTCCACGAATAGTTGACGCTTGCTGGGTGATTGTTATCAACAGAGTGCTTATCTAAAAAGAATTCAAAAGAAAAATATGAAGCAGAAAGAAACGAAATAGATAATGTTATCATGTTGGAAATGTAAGAAGCAAATCATTTAAAAAAACAA